TCGATGAATTAAATAAGACGATACGGCACGTATCTTCACCCCCGCGTGTGCGCGCGCGCGCGCTGATTGATGCCCTCCGACGAAGCAGATCTATTATTACTGCCTGACCTGCTCAAGAACGAGTATTAAACCCCCTCAGCTCTACTACCGGCAAACTGCACTGTCATCCGGCCCGAGGACGGCAACGCGAGACTATGGACTATGGAGACTCGTCTATGGACCCCCAAGCGAGTAATTCTTGTCTGCACGTTGTTGTCTCGTAAATGCAACTTGCGTTATCCCCTACAGTCGATTCCCATCATTTATCGACTCCCGATCTAAACAAAAGCAACACGTAGTAACGTGTGCGTTTTATCCTTTCTATTATTTTTTCCAAGACGTTCACTGTCAGCAATCACGACCATTCGTTTTGTCTCTGTTATTTATAATCCGTTATCCTATGTCATCTCACGTAAGACCGTTTACCGGCCAACTAGCTCGCGAAGATTGCCACTTTCGTCGAGATCGTCATAGAACCCCCCCCCCCCCCCCGTCTGTAATACACGGTGCCTATAATCGGTTCTTACATCCTGAATATCCATCCCGGTACTGGAACGACCCTCCTTCACGCCTGACGTTTTTCCGTCGCGAGAAACGCGGCAGATAAGCTTTCGGTAAATCACGTTTGCGCGCGGCTCAATGCGCCCCGTCCGGGCGAATGCATCCTCGCGGGACAAAGGGATTACGTGCTTTCCTTATCGCGATCTCGAGCGCGGCCGAGCGGGCACGAGCTATCGCTTTCTCGCGCGAGCCCCGCTTTGTGCGTCGCGTCCGCGGTAGCGTCCGCTCCTGAATTTATACCGCGGCCGACTCTCTTCCTCCCCCCTCCCCTTCCTCTCTGTGGAAGGATCTCGCCTACCGGCATTGTATCCTAGCATGGGCACAAAAGGGGGTCGACGACCCCCGGGACGGGGCGACAACCCGGACAATTAGGTTCGAGTACCGTTCGCCGGTCGCGCGCGCCGGCCTCCGAAAAACCGCGGGTCGAGCGGTGACGGCGACTTCGCGCGAAATCCTCGCTTCTATTCATAAGCCAATCTGAAATGCAACGGATCATACATATTACATGACGCACGCTGGATGCAGCGGCGACCGGCACATAAAAATTTACCGGCCGTTTCGCGGATACGGCGACAATTTTACATAATCCAGCGTACCTCCCGTTTTTCTTTTTTTTTTCATTAAGCTGCGAAACAATTTAATTATCACATTGATCGTTCGACCGTTTCTACCGGTTCTTCTTTTTTTCAATCTGACGTTTGTCGCTCGAGAACTCGAGCCGACGGAAATCGAATTTCTCCTTCTGTCTAACGATCTTCGTATAATATTTCGCGCTCGTCGGGAGTCAGGCTGCTAACTCTTGGGGTTTTACGTGCGCGGAGTGACATTTCGTGTAGAATTGGACCGATGAGTTCGATTCTTATGGCCCTGACAAATGAAAAGATCTTAAAAGTTGAACTTTCCCTGCAGAAATTCGGTATTTTACAAAACTCGAATGTTAAGCGAATTAATTAATTCTAATACGAGCAATCGAATAATTCTAACTTATCAGTCTGAAGTAGAATTAGATTGATGGGCTCGATTCTTCTGATCGTGACAAATAAAAAGTTCCTAGAAGTCGAACTGATTTGTCTTGTTTTGCAGAATTATGCGGTTGAATAATCGAGACACAGTTCTACAAAATTTCACATAGTCGAGTTTCAAGTAATTGAATTAATAAGTCAGTCGAATAATTCTGGATTACAAGTCTGAATTAGATTGATGAGCTTGATTCTTATGATCGTGACAAATAAAAAGTCCCCGAAAATCGGATTCGTCTTTCCTCGCAGAATCACGCGATTATTCGCGACAAAATTGTACAAAAATCGGTAGACTCGAATGTCAAGTAATTGAATTGATTAATTCAGTTACGCTGTAACAATCGAATAATCCTGGATTACAAGTCTGAATTGGATTGATGAGCTTGATTCTTCTGGCCGTGACAAATCAAAAGTCCCCAAAAATCGGATTCGACTTTCCTCGCAGAATCACGCGATTATTCGCGACAAAATTGTACAAAAATCGGTAGACTCGAATGCCAAGTAATTGAATTAATTTAGTTACGCTGTAACAATCGAATAATCCTGGGTAGCAGGCTCGACTTATAATCGAGTAAGTCAATTATAATTCAGACGTTGAAAGATCACAGGCTATTATACTCCCGATGATCTAGGCACGTCATAAAATGTATATAATCGTTACGGCGTGATTGCGCGCGAGGCCTCGTAGGCAGGAGATTGCCGCTCGCTCGGCGCGAGGCCGACAATCTCATTCGAGCCTTATTCAGACGTCGCCGGCTCGATATCCTCTGTGACGTGTGCATGACTAATCGCGCGCACGGGATAATACACGTTGGCGCGTCTCGCGTATTCAGACTGCATTTAAGCGGCGCGACGAACCGCATTTTTCCCGAATAAACGGCGTGACTCACCCTAGATGCGATTCCACTAGTTGCGTGTTTCCGTCTAGTCGCGCGCGCGGGAGATGCGCCGCCGCGCGGAGGAGACGCGCTACTTTGGCAGCGAGCCACGTCGTGTCATCGCTCGTGCCCGCGCAAATTCGAGATTTCCTCGGCTGGCGTCCCGACAGGTAAACAGGCGCCCGCTGCTAAACGCTCTCAATTATCGACCATCTTGAAATAAAATGTGTCCGCACTCGTGCGCGATACTTAGCACCTTCTTTGACCGCGTCGCCGGGTACCTGACGATTACGGCTTATCGCTGGTAGACGGTCACGCTCGATCGTACTCGGCACGGCATATGTGTCCCATTCGCATTTCTCTTCGCAAAAGTTATCTATTTAGTCAGGGTTGGGAAAGTTACTTAATAAAAGTATCTAGTTACAGTTACAGTTTCCTCGCTAAAAGTGTAACTAGTTACAGTTACAAGTTACCAATTCCGAAAAGTAACGCGTTACAGCTACTCGAAAGGTAACGAGTCGTTACTTTGCAGTTACTTTCTTGCGATAAGAAGAAAGATATCAAATCTGCATTTGAATTGTAAAGTGTCGATAAAGGCGTTTATGCGCAAATGCAAGACCTAATGCGATCTATGGAGGTTGAAAAAATATATAAAGTGACTCTTCATGTAACTATTAAATTAGTTACTAGTTGTCGAAAAAAAATGTACCTGAGCTAAATTACAGTTAGAGATGGAGAGAAAGTGACGAAGTTAAGTTAGACTTACCAAAAAAAAGTAACTGTAACTTCGTTACAAGTAACGAGTTACTTCCCAACCCTGTATTTAGTTAATAGCACGTTCGAAAATCGGGAAAGAAAAATTAATTCAGCCACAAGAAGATAACGTGCATCGTCTAACGTTGTTACAAAACGTTGCTTTGAAGTTACAGATTTGTTAACGCGCAGCAAAGTGTCGATCTTCAAGTGCGTCGTCGTTACTTGCGCTATTCTCACGATTAAGGATTAAGGATTAGATTAGAGAGTGCTAATTGCATTGTAAATCAGTGCCAGCCGAACATGTTGCAACTCTGTTTTCTCTCTAATCTGCCCTACACTCTTGTCTCATGTTACAGTGTCTAGTTAGCCTAATTCCGCAGTGACTCGTCTCGCGTGTTTGACAAATTCCGTAAGTCGTAACTAAATCGATCATTTTATAGAAATCTCGAGCCGCGCTACGCTTTCGGCTTCGCATTGGGAGTCAACGAAGTTGGATTATTGCTTGAGGACGAAGCGATGCAACGAGGCCGATGCATATATTCCTAATAGATTCAGTAATAATGCGAGATTTTATAAAATCTGATGCGTTCGAATTTTAAATAATCGAGCTGATTAATTCATCCGGCAGTGCACGAATTTGAATAACGAAATCTGAATTTGTTACGATTGAGCAACGGTGCAAAAGTATTGCCGATTATTAAGCTTTGCATTCCTGTTGCGCCGCGCGTCCGGTGGGGCGAGATGAAATGCGCCAAGTGAAAAATAGTCGCTGTAAAAGACTGGCTTTTTCACCGAGAAAATTCGGCGCTGTCGACGCGTCTGCAGAGTGTAACTGGACTCGAAATGCAGTTTGCCCATTTGTCTCATGGTTGCTTCCCGACCTCTCGGCTCTCAACCTACACCTACACCTACGTCGCGCAAACTTTCCGCCCGGATCTGTTGCGAGTATCGCGCGGGGGCGGTCGAACTTATACCGAGCGCCTCGCATACGTTGTTGCGCCGATGGGAAGCCCTGGAGAACGCACCGTGTAAACTTCGTTCGATTTGCAGCGCATGATGTACGATGCGCATCGATCATGTGCTCGAAATAGGTTAACGGAAACATGAGGTGCCTCCAGAGCTATCGCCGCTTACTCTTAACGACAGGTCTCAGCCGCGGACTCGAAAAGAATAGGCGACTGCTTCGTTGCTTGAGATGCCAGCGGTTTTCGGGGCGGCTGACAAATTTTCAAATCAAGCGAGAAGATTCGTGCCGAGTAGTTCTTATCAATGTCTGCGTGATGATACGACGTAGGTCGTAGAGGAAAATGGAAGAAGTTAATTAGAAAACTTCGGGGCGGTGTAAGGCTTTTGAAACGAAGCCTGCGTCTCTCGTAAACATAATTAATCGTAATTAAAATTTATCGTACGGCAGTACATGTGCGTTGAAAAATACCTCTGAATCCGACGTCGCTTCCTCTTTATTTTGCAAAGGAAGCGACGGTTCCCCGCAAAACGCGCATTGACGAAATATTTTGTTTGTTGTTCTCTTAGGTCGACGGTGCATCGCGTATTCTCCCCTCTTGGTCTCTTAATTCGGAGATGCATTTAATTAAAGATTAATATCCACGTTTCCCAGCTTTCACGTTCCCTTCGGGGAACCCGGCGAGATGCGATGCACCATCGCCTAAATCAACAAAGTATGAAAACGTACTCCTAAAATATCTCGCACGCATCTGTTAAAGTGCATTCCTCTTTTCTGTTGCAGGAAGTGTTACACACGATCAGTACACCCAGTGGTCAGGTTCAACGCATCGTAATCTTTAAGAAAAACGGCGTGCAGGCTATGGTTGAATATCCTTTTCAATACGTGTCCCCAGTGTTCTTATTACATCGGCGCTCGCCGGCCGGCAATTTCGTCGATTTGCGTTAACGATTCTCGGAAGACACTGCATAAATCTCAATTGCGTAAATTAACACTTTAAATTCTGTTGCGCCCGCGCTACCGCCGCGGTAAATTAGAAATGTACCGCTAATGCTCTGTTTGCCAAGCGTAACACTGTTTTACGGCTGCAGTTGTTACGCGTTGTATATAAAGAATTAACCAAGTCGTTGTTATTCTTCAAGGCTCGGCTCGCCGAAATTCCTTAATTTTCCAAATCGATTTTACGTATCTCCGTCATCTTTTTATTACACGGGAAGCTAAAAATGCAATTTAAATTTACGAAGGAATTTTTTAATTTTCTTTAACGTCTTAATTATGTGCTTCCTTAAGTTCTCCGGAATTTTTTAATTTTCAAAATTTTTAATATCCCCCCCCCCTCATCTTACATCCAAGTGGAAATTCTATTGAAGACGCAATTGAAATTTATTGAAGAATTTGTCATGGAAATTTTGACAAGCAGCCGTACAAAGGGTCGATTTAGAAATGCGCAAGGGGCGTCTTTGAGTTCGGCCGCGGCCGAACAATGCCGCTGGGAAACGATTTTATTTTACGCGAATAGACCGTCGCGTTTTTGCAGGAATTTGATTTACACGATAAACTTGGACGCGCAACAGCACGTCGAACACGCGAGTCAAGGGTCACCTTTGGCGAACTCGAAGCCCGCGGGATCGACTCTCCGTCTGACACGCTTTCTCGAGCCGGGGAAACTTTGTCAAGACATGCGCTGCCATTATGGCATAATGAAGATTTATAACGGGGATTCCGAGCTGAACGCCGTTCAGTGAACGGTGAGGCTCGATTTTTTTTTCTCGCCGCGAGCCCTTCTCGCGTATTCCGCGCGCGAATACGTTTAACGCGCTTCGAGCTTCACCTTGGGAGCGGTGCGTATTTTCGGTGAATCCCCGCGTAGTAGAATATATTCCGAGCTATTACGATCGAAATAATAGTCGAGCCGCGTCCCGCGTGACTATAAATTCGTTAGAACTTTGCGTCATGTCGGATTTATACATACGCGACGGCCACTTTGCGGGAAAACAACATTGTAATGCCGCGGTGAACTCCGCGAGATTCCCGTCTTGTCGGAATGCTACGTTTTATCGCGTTTCGCGTTAAACTTGGCGAACGTTACAATTCATATAATTTTATTGGTATCGTACTTTTATTTGTACATATTTCCGTTTTATCTTTTCGATCTTTTATTTATTTATAATTTTGTCAGGGAGACGCACTGAAAGTGGTTTCAAATTTTAATTGTTAACTGGTCGTCGCGCAAACGAAGATATAACAATTACGAGTTATTGCCGGATTTTTATAAATACTTAATTTATTTACGCGGAATTTAATTTTGACCTTCTTCCTCGTGTATTGCGCTTAAAGTCTGTCTTATCCACTTTTGATTCTGGTACTTTGAGCATTTGGTTTTACTTCACCTCCGGTAGGCTGCTAACCTTGCCGAAGAAAATCTCGCATCTGGAAAGCTAATTCCTAAAGGGGTACACTGACAAAAAAATTTTTTTAACGAAGTAAATAGATTTACTTAAAATTATTTTTTTACTACAGTAAATATTTATTCTGTTTGAATAAGAATATAAAATTTTAAGTAAATCTATGTATTATATTATGTAAATTAATTTAAATCATTACATTTTCTACATTCAAATAAAGATTTCATGAGGTATAGAATACTATTTCTTAAATGAAATAATTGTTCTTGTTAAATAAGAAATTCAATTTTCTTCGCTGTGAAAATCACATCTTAGTAAACATTTTATAGAAGTAAAATAAAATTTAAAAAATTTTCAATTATCTATTCTTTAATATTTAATAAATACTCAAATTAAAGCAATGCATGTTTCAATTTGTTTATTATTTTTTAATTCAAGTTAATAAGCTATTAGGAGCCACCTGATGAATAATTTTCTTGATTAAAGCAATATTTTTGGATTAAGATATTTTTTTATCAGTGTATGTGTGGCAAGATACTCTCTCGGTGATTGCCACTTCTCTTCGGGAGATTTCGAAAAAGAGCAGTGGGGTCCGTGAATTTCAACTCGGTTCTTTTCGTCCATTTCTTTACTAAGCAGCACACATTTCTCTGCGCCACTCTCGCCGAATTTTCAACTTTATATACGTATATGTAGTATATCTTTTTTGTACAAATTGCTATATGTCCTTACCTAATTTTTCGATCATCACGTTCGACACGGTGGAATCGGCAACCAGAGCAAAGGAAACGCTACATGGGGCAGACATATACTCCGGCTGCTGCACACTAAAAATCGACTTTGCAAAGGTGAGTACATCAGCAATTAGCCTCCGTAATTGTCCAGCTCTTTTGCAAGAAAATTTATGCGAATCCAGATATGTAAATGCTGCGCGACGGTAAGGCGGTTCGCCGCTCTTAAAAAACATTGCAAAAAAGGGGGGGACCGTTTTAAAAATTTCGTCGTCCCGGGCATTTTACATAATGCCGCCCGCGCTAGCGTGGAAGTTCGGAAAACCTATTTGCGCCATTCATTTTTACGCGACTCGTTATCAATTCTAATTAGCAACGCCACGAGTGCTCGTGGCATAAAAGTCTATCCAACATTTGCAATTTAGTAGCGACGTTTCATTTAAGTACGCGGATATATTGATAAAGCCGATTTAAACGCACTCCCGGTGCATCCGCGTAATGATAAATTATCTTATGCGTACCTGCAAGAAACATGAATTACGCTGAATTATATAAATTTTAAAGCTATCGCATTTCCCCTCGGCCGTAAATTATTTGACGGGGATAAAATAAAAAAATTTTTCCCTCCCGTAGATTTAAAACCGAATCTAAATACGGGCCCGCTAAAATAATATAGAACGCGACGCGAAGAGATTTAATTTGAGATTTAATTATCAAGTTGTTTCGATATTTCGTTAAATATCAAAAAGCCGCGACTGTTAATGGCTTTCGATCGAATTTCCGCCCAGTAATAATGCATTGCAAATTTGTCAAAGGGGATGTTAACGGGGAAATGTCGACTATTCTGTACAAAACATATTTCATGAGAAAATTCAGTCTATTTAAAAGAAATCTTATTCAATTTGTGCAGTTGCAGCTTAATGCGGTGTGACTTGCAGAATTTACTCGCGATATTACATCCACGTTTAACCGAGTGAATCCTCCGCGTGATCAGCGAAACGTACATCGTTCGCGCGCGATATTATAATTTTGTCACAACAGGACGACCTGTTTTTATATTAAGTACGCAACCCTCGTCCAGATTCGAGTCAGCAGAGGCTGAAATCGTCGATCTAAGTAACTTATCGCAATCAATGCACCCGACGCTGTCGTAAATCTCGTAATTTAACGCTTGTAACGAACACAGCGCGACACAAGATGGATTAACCGGTTTTTATCTGATTCTACCTACCGCGCGCATTAGCGTGACACGGCAAACAGCTGCGCTCTTTCACGCCCCAGTCGCGACTTTCACGCGAGAAGAATTAAGCTTCGTTCATACACAATACCACCATTGAGCGAACAAACGTTCGTTGCTAGAGTGCGAAGGGAGTTGTCCCGGGTATGATTTTTCAGAGATTTATCAGAAGTTATACGGCCGACTTTGATCAACGTGTCCCTCTTAAAGGTTAGCTTCTTCAAATTGCCGGTGTTAATAAAATTCCAAATTTCATTCGACCTCAGCCGGCCACGTTTATTAATTAACCGGCCAGTATAGATACTTTATTGCAAAAGATATTACCTCAGCCTGGGTTTGAACCTGGACTTTCCTACTCTGAGAAAAAAGACAGCAACCCATTTTGGGGCCCACAATTAGTAATCGAATTAATTGGATTGTTCGTAATAATTGTTAAGTCAACAAACCAGTATAAAGATGACATCCTGGCGACTATTTTTCGACATTAAGCGCCCCTCTTATTTTTTCGCAATTCGTAACTGACCTTTCCGAAACGGAAGGAGCGTACGCTCGCTGAAACAGCTTCTCTTTTATTTATGCCGCCCTTAGGCGCCGTCAGAAATTATTAGTTTTCATTTCAAAAAGTCATAATTCGTTCCTGCTTTTATGACGAACGCGATGCCGGCTCGCGATAGAGACGTTGAAAGGAACATCCGGCGCATTAAGCCCCGCGCGATGATTGCAGGGGGAGGAAAAGTGGCTCGTGCCATACGAAAGCACGTCCCTTTGGCGTGAACGCGCGCTATTATGTCTTAAAAAAGCACGCGAGAAATGAGCAGCCGAATATTAACGGAACGCAGCGTTACGGAATCGCTCGTTAATGAAGACGTGAGCGCGCGCGCCGCGTCAGATTGCATCGGATATGTAATTATACGCCTACGAGTCTCGATAATCATAATTATCACACGTAATCGTCACGAAAGGTCGATTCGTTTGTGCTGATAAAGTATTTGCCGTTTCGACGGAAAGAAAAGAATTCATGATAGAGTCGCGTGGGAATTTTTGCAAAACTTTGTACATCGCACGCCGGCAAACAGAGTCTCGACATTTGCTCGGTTTAACCCTTTGAAACATAACATTTTTCTATTGAACCATTTTTTTGTGAAACTTTGTATACAAGGGTTTTTGGGCTCGTTGATTGCGAACCCGTTATTAGATTTTCATAAATTCAATTATGCTAAGAAACATTATTTAGATATTATTAGGACTCGTGGAATCTAAGTTCCAGTTGAAAATTCTTATAGAATATAAAAACTAGCGCAAAATTTGCCGATTTCAGATTCTCGTTTATTTAAGTGTTATTTTCTAATTGTACACCTGATCCGTAGACACCGAGTTTTTAATGAAAACATCGAATTCGTAATCAGCGACCTAAAATGTCCCTAAATACCATAATCAAACGAAAATGCTGGAAAAACTGGAAAACTTAAAAAGTTCACGTACTTTGCATCCGCCATTTTGGGTCGGTCATTTTTCATTTTGAAAATCTGACCAGACTCGTAATGGGCGACCCCGAAAACCCCTTTGTACAAAGTTTTCAAGAAATAATCTTAAAAAACTTGATCAATAATGAATTTTTCCGAAAAAATTGTTTTTTTTCATATGTGTTTATCAAGACTTTTAAAATATATATTAAAGACTACTCAACTTTTTCTTTATGTTCTTTTATCGCTAAGATACCCACAAAATACAAAAACCCGACCTAAATGCGTTAACTAGACATGAAATGGCCAAATAGTAAAGAAGTTGCCATCATGCTTGAAAGGGTTAAAGCCCATCTTTCTCCTTGGTGACAATATAGTATGACTTTGTGCCACCTGCTTCGCCGTGTTTTTCCTTTCAATTCCTTCGACGGCATCTTTGTCTCTAACTTCCCTTAGCATATCGATTTCTTGCATAACGAAATCCAATCATAGAATAGCGGGAGTAATGATAACGACAATGGTCGGCGATAACATTATTTTCTCGCTCGCTCGAACAGGCAACTCGGAATTACGTCGATTTGCTGTTATCCTTCCCGATCGCTTCCTCGCCACCGACCGTGCGGGTCATATTGGAAAATGTTAGATATTTATTGGCGCGGTCGACTGTATTTTTCGTTCGAATATCGCGCACAGCTGCTTCTTCTTCAACCTCTGGAGCACGTATTTGAAATCGTGAGGCGCGGTTAATCGACCGTTCTTGATTTCTTTGCAACGAACGTGTGATCCTTATTTGCCTTCGAAAAGGTCAAAAGTGATCGTTTAGTATGACATCTTGGTGCAGCAAGTGGATCGCAATTAGATTTCCAGAGCCTCTGCCGAGGAGAGAGTCGTGACAAACGTGTCGGGAGACATCGCGACTAAAACCGGCGCTCGCTAAATCTGTAAAACATAGTACGAACTCGAGATACTTTTCTTAATCTTTAAACCGGGGGGGGGGGGAGAAAAAAGAAGAAGGAGAACTTCGCGAAGCGAGTGATCTAGATTTAAAAGTCGGATTAATCCAGAGGCAGTTCGTACAATCTGAATAATACAAAGCGCGCAAAAGGTCTCGGATGAGGAGCGTCGGCGGAGATGTCGGCAAAAATTCGGGGTGGAAGTATGCGCATACCAGAGAAGCTCTAGAGACGCTCGGCTCTCTAGAGCGACAAGCGAAAATAGAGTCGAAGGCAGAGCCCGAGGCTCGAAATTGGATTTCGAGGCGGAGCCTGTCACGGGAGCTTACACACCCCTTATCTACCTATTGCCAATGGAAAGGCCTGCCAAATAGCGGCCGTGCTTGTTGGAAGGCGCGCGTCGGCCGTACGCCACGCATGAGCCGCATGAATCATGCGACGGATCTACTACGCGCGTGCATCTGCGCGCGGGAGGCTGAGGTATCTATTGCAGACGTATCGGATACATCGGAGGAATATTTGAACAAGCCTCCCCCCCGTATATCGCATCCCGCGAAATCCTTCTGGATTCAGTCGTCCTCCTCACCGAGAGCGTACACCCTTCGATATTCTCTGTTGCGACTCGTCAATTTTTTTCCCCCGTAAGAACAAACGTGGACGGAACGACAATGTCGTATCGATTACGACACGGTCTTTCGGAGATCGCTCGGCGCAGAAGCGGAACCCGCGCACGAAGACCCTCTCCCGTTTTTGCATCTTCTCATCCGCGAGTAACACTCGCCCCTTCGAATGCACGAAGGAGAGCGCGCGTTCCCGTTGCACTTTTCCGCAATTAAGTTCTCTCTCTTTCTCTCTCTCTTTTTTTTTCGAACTCGATAGCGCGACTTTGTTACACTCTTGCGATTGCCACGGGCGAACGTTGCGCGCCAATCCGTACCGCGCACTTCTCTCCTCTTTTTTTTTTGGTTTTTTAACTTTTCAGCGCGTTGTTTTCTTTTCCCTCCTCAGAGTCTGCTGCCTTTGCCCAGGAGACGTTATATTAGTGATCTCGAAACATTCGCGGAATTAGCACGTCCCATCCATTGTTCCATTGTTCCGCCACCTAAGCTTTCTTTCTCTTTTCTCCCTGAAATTTCTCCGCCTCGAGTTTGCCATTGCTGACGCCGCAGCCCGCGACGTGTAAAACGTGCTTCCCTTTATTCCGTAACGCCTACGTTATCTTCGTTCCTTGAGAGTGCAATATTCAAAGTTTCATTATTAAACTTTCGCCACGGATCGGCGAAGAAACGAGGTTGTTTATTGAAGTTGAAAGAGCCGATAAAGTCATTCGTTATTTAGAATGGCGGCGAGTCGAGGAGGGGGCGGAGAGGGGCGACGTAACAACTGGTACCAATTCAATTACCGTTTTTTCTTTCTTCAGTCGGAGCGTGAAGTCGGATTAATTTAAACGTCACGTCGCCGTTA